GGAAACAAAGAAAGGAAGAAAGTTGAATAAAATAATTAAAAGAAAAAAAAGACTTTTTAAAAAAGAGGTTTTTTGCCTTAGGGCACATATGCTCTCTGGAGAGAGAGACAGACAGACATAGTGAGAGGGAAAGTGAGAAATCACCCCGCAAAGGGATGGCCACACCACAATCCCTTCTCCTCCATTCTCCCCCCAGGTTCTTAGGCATGCACACACATGTGCCTGGAATGATTTTCAAGCCACCAGGTCTGGGTCTGGAAACGTGGTCAGCCATGTGGGAGTCCAGCAACGTAACTACTATGCCATCTGCTGGTCCCAAATAATTCTTAAAAAATAAAAACTCACTCTGCTATGGTAACATTGATGCTGTAGAGCATAAAAAGAATGAAGTTGGCCTACATAAGAAAAACGATAAAAATCTCCAACAGAAACTGGGGTGTAAGAAGAAACTTACAGAATAACATGTTTGGGTAAGCCCTTTACAGTAAAAAATGGAAAAGAGGGGCCAGCGTCATGGCATAACAGTAACGTATCCCCCAAGAGAAGCTGGATACCACGTGGCTCCAATTCCGGCCCAGTCAGAAACACGCTGGGCACATGGAGTGGTGCCAAGAGGAGGGGGCTGGAGAGCGGAGGGCCGGAGGACAGGGGATGATGTGGACCAGCCCCTGCGGAGGAAGCTCATCTCTCTCACTCTCAGTCACGTGCGTGAGCACACATTCCATCACGAATAAAGAAAAACCCCGAAAAAATTCACCTGAAAGGGCAACTACAAACTTGTAGAGAGATCTAGAAAGACACACATCGGAGGATGCGAGTGGTGACATCTTGGGAGGAAGTGGGTCTGGAGGAGGCTGGTTAAGGAGACTTGAAACTTTTAACATCTTACGACAGTAACCTATTCAACACACACCTTGTTAAAGTCAAAACAACGTTACTTCAGGACAAAGAGGAGGAGAGGAGTCGGAGCGCTGGACGGGATTACTGGATACAGATGAGGACTGGAGAGCAGAGGGCACCACTAGAGGGCAGAGCTGAGAGCCAAGGCCAGAGGGGCAGAGGTCCCC